TCAGCGAACTTTCATTGGGTGAAGGGGAAGTTTTCCCTCCCCTACAGTTCCTTCTTTAGAGAAGCCTTCCTGAACCTCCTGCTGAGACCCGTCCTGTGGACACAGGCTTTCAGAGCCCCTGGATGTACTTCCACTTCCAGCACTTAATACAATTGTAATTACTTTTTGAGGTGGGTGGGTTATTTAATATCTAGGGGCTCCCATTGTATGATAAAGGCTTAAAGTCTTCATCTGTTTTATTCACTACCATATGCCCAATGCTTAGCAAAGTGCGCCTAGTACATAAAGGACGCTCAGTAAGTATGAATGAAGAAATGCACGAACAAGTGAATGAAGAAAAGAAGTGAACCTTGGACCAAGATAAATTTGTAGGGAGGCAAGAATTCAGACACAAAAGGGAGACAGCACGCACCTGCACAGCTCCGTGAGAAGAGAAAAGACGGTACACTTCTGAGACGGTACAGCTCTGTGAGATGAGTGGGGGGCGAAATGCCTGTACAAAGCTCACTGCCATGGCAGCTGCCACCAGATCACCTCCCACTGGCCTCCTCTAGACCCTCAGGGACCTCTCCCCATCTCACATGCCTCTCCTCATCAGAGCCAGTCAGCACAAGCAGGGAGAAGTCATTTCATGTGACTCCAAAGGGCTGGGCAGAGCTGAGCCCCAAATAGAGAACTCCCTCATTTTCTTCTTCTTTTTTCTTTTTCTTTTTTTGAGACAAAGTTTTGCTTTTGTTGCCCAGGCTGGAGTGCAATGGTGCGATCTTGGCTTACTGTAAAATCTGCCTCCCGGGTTCAAGCGATTCTCCTGTCTCAGTCTCCCAAGTAGCTGGGATTACAGATGTGCACCACCATGCCTGGCTAATTTTGTATTTTTAGTAGAGACAGCGTTTTACTATATATTGGCCAGGCTGGTCCCAATCCCCTGACCTTAGGTGATCCACCCACCTCGGCCTCCCAAAGTGCTGGGATTATAGGCATGAGCCACCGCACTCCGCCATCTTCTTTTTTTCTTAAGAGATGGGGTTTCGCCATCTTGCCCAGGTTGGTCTTGAACTCTGGCCTCCAGTGATACACTTGCCTCAGCCTCCCAACCTGCTGGGATTACAGGCATGAGCCACCGTGCCTGGCTGGACTCCCTCATTTTCAATGAGAGCCTTGGAAGTAGGAGCATGTTAGTGTGGACATGATTTCTCTGCTCCCATCGTAGTCTTTCGGTCCCAGTGCCCTTCCTCATATGGGGATGCTGAAGGTCTCTCTTGTATCATCGTCACAAATTGGGGCAGGTGCCCAGGGGTTTATATGAATCACATAGAAACCTACCCATCTGCTTGGCCAGGACTACCTCCCTGGGAGAGCAGTCCCCTCCCCTGGGAAGTTGGCAATGACCAGTGACTTTCCCTCTGTCCTCCCCTTGATCGGTTGCTCAGAAGCACCACTGGATTTGTTGGTCCTCCTTCCCCCATCTAGGAATTCTCTCCTCCCTGGCCTGCCTCTGGACTCTGCCTCTGTGATTAACCCTTTCTCTCCCTTGTGGTCTGCTCTTCCCACTCCAAAACTAAAAGTCTTAGTCCTTCCTCTTCTCACACAAGCCCCTCTTCTTGATGGCCCTATCCATTTCTGCAGCTGCACCATCCTCTCCACATGGGTGAACCCCAAATATCATCACTATTCCTGACCTTGCCACCAAGCACTTCTCTCTCATCCCCAAATGCCAGCAAGATAAAGTCAAAGTCCTGAGCTAAATCCTGGAGTCTCCTGCCATCTTCCCCTCCTTTTGCAAACCTAGCTGAGATGGCGACTGCAACTGCCCAGGCTGCATGAGGGTGGGGACTGGAACAGCCAATGTCCATGCTTCCAGTACATTCCTGCCTTGTCTGGCTGGCCACTGTGTCTCCCAAAGAAGGTCCACATACAGGACACAGTCAGGGGTTTGAAACCACAATGGGGACAGAAGAGGATGAAAGATACATTTGAAGGCTGTCAAGGACAGAGGATCAAGAGAATGTATTCCCAGGTACCGAGCTCAGGGAACGTGGCTTGATGGGCCTCCTGGGCCCTCTGGCCAAGGTCTTTTACTTTTGCCAGGCTGGACTGCACGCCTCTCCACTTGGCTCTTTGTTCACTTGTTATATCTCTGTCTCCACTTCCAGACTCGAAGCCCCATTAAGACAGGACTATCTGTCTTGCTCTCTGGCCACTCTAGGCATTCAGTGAGCATCTGCTGAATAAATACATAGAACATGTTCTGCCCCTTGCCCAACTTTATGCCTTTGTTCTTTTTTTTTTTTGAGACGGAGTCTCCCTCCGTCGCCAGGCTGGAGTGCAGTGGTGTGATCTTGGCTCACTGCAACCTCCGCCTTCTGGGTTCAAGCAATTCTTCTGCCTCAGCCTCGCAAGTAGCTGGGACTGCAAGTGTGCTCCACCATACCCAGCTAATTTTTGTATTTTTAGTAGAGATGGGGTTTCACCATGTTGGCGAGGCTGGTCTCGATGTCTTGACCTCATGATCTGCCTGCCTCAGCCTCCCAAAGTGCTGTGATTACAGGCGTGAGCCACTGCGCCCAGCCTATGCCTTTGTTCTTAATTCTTCCCTTGAGATGCTCTGCACCCTCCCTCCATCTTTCTTTCCACATGTCAAAATCCTTCCCATCCTTAAGACCCATCCAAATGGTACCTTCATTGTGAAGCTTTCCCTCAACCCCTACCGCTGAGAGCCTCCTTCTCCCTGCTAACTCCCCATGGTACCTGGTTTGCGTTTATTAGATCACTTACACCTTATGCTTTGGATTATCATAATTTCTGTACCCACCTCTGTCCCCCTAATAGAGCGCCAAGTATAGCCTTTGCTCTCCTCTAGGCCTCTGCTGGGGAGATGACTCCCTCTCTCCCCAGTCCCTGCCCTGCAGACATCCTGCTATGGCCTCCATCAGCACAGATGTTGGCCCCAGACAGCCGACCCGGGTTCGCCCCATGCTTTTCTACTTCCTCAGCACAAGGAAGCACAGCTCCTTGAGGGCAGGGGCAGGCCATTGGTGTATTCTCTTCCCTATTCCCTGGCACAGTGCTTTCTATGCAGTAGGTGCTCTGTAAGTGCTCAGTATAGGAAGGTAAGAGTATTGATTGCAGTCGGCGCCTTTTTACTCCAGATGCTGCTTCCTTGGAGCCCAAAGCAGCCTCCCTAAGCCTCCTTTCCCCAGGCTGGGAGCTCACTCATGCAGACTGGGCCACCTCCAAGGTTTCCCTCCTTCCTCCGCACCCTATCACTGCTATAGCTTTGCCTAAACCAGGTCCCAACCCAGCGCTATTTCAGACATTTGCATGGCCTGACCACAGCCTGTAGGTGGGGAGGAGGCTGAGCTGCAGGGATTTTCTGGTCTCACAGGGCCTCTTGTCAAAAGCCCAGGAGCACAAAAGTTGCCTGATGAAGGGGGCAGGACTCCAGGGTGGGGGGCATCCAGGGGCCCCTGCACTTCCTGGGGTGCCGAGGAAGTAGAAAAGCATGGGGTGAACCCGGGTCTGCTTCCTGTGGCCACCATCTGTGCTGATGGAGGTGACCGCAGGGTGTCTGGGGGTGGGGGTAGGGAGTGGGGGCTGGATGAGTCATCAGGGAGGGGCAGAGGCCCAGAGGAGAGCAAAGGCTAAATCTTCCCCAAACCCTTCCTGTTTGGGCTGCCAGAGATGGAGTGGCAGTTTTGGTTTTTTTGTTTTTTGACACAGAGTTTCGCCCTTGTTGCCAGGCTGGAGTGCAGCGGTGTGATCTCTGCTCACTGCAACCTCTGCCTCCTGGGTTCAACCTATTCTCCTGCTTCAGCCTCCTGAGTAGCTGGGATTACACGTGCCCACCACCACGCCCGGCTAATTTTTATATTTTTAGTAGAGTCGGGGTTTCACCATATTGGCCAGGCTGATCTCAAACTCCTGACCTCAGGTGATCTACCCGCCTCGGCTTCCCAAAGTGCAGGGATTACAGGCATGAACCACTGAACCGGGCCTGGAATGGCAGTTTTTCCAGCAGAACTAACACCGGCATTTCAGG